TATCCAATGATCGAAACCATATAAGGTGTGTCATTACATTGTGGTCCATGGCAAATCCCTAGTTCCAGTAGAATGGAACGAACAATAAACAACGAATATAACATAACTTTGACGTCCACAAATTCGTCATAGAACACATCATTTTCTATAAGCGTGCAGTCAGCAACCGAAGAACACACCACTGATGACCTGTGCTGTTCGAATGAATGAATTAATTCTAGACATAAGGGAACAAGAAAGACAATAAACAATACATACATTTGTATCTTTCTGCTCTGGTTCTCTTTATCTAATCAATAGAATGCTATTTAAGCGAATTAGCTAAATAGGTCAGTAGCTCGAAAAGCCAGAGTGGGCCAGCCGAAGAATATCGTAATACGAACGAACTACCACAAAGATCAAGTACATTGGTGTTTCCCTACCTAGGGAGCAAAGTTTTTAATACAGGTGTTTAGCCAGCAGCGCATGGGCGAGAACCAAGTTGTGTTCACGTTCATTATATCTCGTTCGATACTATACCCTCGGAAATGCAACTTGTCATTGGAAAGTGCTCACATATCAAGATAAACATATGTGAGTCATTCATGATTGAATGAAATTGGGTTTAGAAACGGTAATTTAATAGCACACAATAAGTATCTCTCTCACGTAGCGAGACACGCGTTTATGTATTGAATACAGATTTGTGTGCTACAACGTTGATTGCCTCACAAAGCCAGTGAAAAATTTGTTTAGATATTATTGTGTATATCCCTGCGTAATAGAAGCTTAACAAGATGTGAATTCATTAAACGTACTCTACCTTAATAGTGGTTCTGAAGGCCCGCGGGACTCACCCGCCCGTAAAACCTTTTGGTTACACGTGATGACGATTAAAAACGCACATGACTATATAGACTTGTTCGATACATTTAGGAGTCTACTGCGCAGTTATCATAGTAAACTGAAAGACCTTCACCGATTGGAATTGTTGTACATTGTTAAGAAGGTAGTTATAGCCACTTTTCTTGCACTAATTCATCTCCTTAGGTTTTCCTTTTGCTTAAGATCCAGCTGTAGTTATCACTGGAGAATCCTTCACTGCTACACGCGGCCACTGACATCGTTTTGTTCAAATCGGAATACGCTACTTCGAAAGCGGATCTTGCGGATCGGTATATCGGGTAGCAAAAATCAAGCTGCTCGACATTTTCTGTTCATCTAGGATAACAGGAAAAATGCTGTGGCACGTGCGACGATAATTTTGCAGTTAAGATTACTGCTTAAATGCTATCCGTCATTAAACATGGTATTATAAAAAAAAAACGCACCCAGTCGACTGTCCGTCTTGATGAGGATGCTTGGAGGCCACTTTTGAAGTAAGATCATTTTAGGTGAGTCTATGCATCTATCTCTTAACTAGGAACGTTGACAGCAAAGGGAGCAATTTTCTGGTTTCCTTCCACCGCTCATAGCCGGGAAGTTGGCATGACGAATTCAGTTTTATGCGCCCGACATACTGAATACTGGTATTTAAACCCTTAGAAACATATCGTTACCAAAACAAAAACGATAATTACAGCCTTGCAGAGCAAACAAGGAACCTCGAGCATTATTCGGCAGAAAAGAAATTCAATGCCCTGAAGAGCCTAATACGACGTTTACATTCCTCTTTATCGCTAAGTGTGCTTGATGTTTTCGTAGAGAGTATTTTAATGATGAAAAAGAAGAAAAATTTAAGCATTTGCTTAGTCTGTAGATGTGCACGAATAGGTTAAAGATCAGCCGAGAAAGTTGGCGTTACATGGTTTTTCTATAATACCATAGATCGCTATTATGTTCGTAGTCATTGCGGAAATCGCAAATAGCAACGATATAATTTCGGCGAGGAAACCGCAACCCAAACATTTAAGACAATGCAAATTGTACAACAGCGCCGGCAGCACTAACTTCATAAGTTTTCACCAAAAGCTTCTAACGAATGATAGTAACACTCACAGATGCGCAAATACAGTGTACGTACCTTGGGGAGATATGGGCAAACGAAAGGCGATTTTAGAAATAAAAGTAATCATTATTAGCAATAACTTCCTTTCCCTCCCATAAACTAGCTGCCGTATATCCCACAAAATGCACAAGCGGTCATCGTGGCAGCAACAACCGACAGTAAAACTACACTGACAGCAGCAAAAAAACAAAGGAATATTAAATTGGCTTTAGCTTTACTGACATAAAGTAGGTTTGAATTTTGGCGCGATTTGAAACGGATGACGAAATTAAAAGTTTAGCAAAGCATCTGTGTACTAGCTAACCTTTAGTAAAACTATTTAATTGCTTTCTTGCATAATATTTTAATGTTTGAATGAAAGCGTTGCTAAATTGCTGTTAAGTCAAAGTTGGGGGAACACTTGTATGAAAGTCATAGTAACGCACTCAAAAGTCGAGATTCTAACTTAGTCAAGAAGTACCTATAATTATATATACACTTTTTAATAAGAAGCATATCCTTTTTACTTTGAAGAATACCTCTGTAAATTTGCTAACCGACAGCACTGTAAAGAGATGAAAAATTTTCCAGTTTCTCCGCTGAGGAGGTTCTATTTAATGTATGCCGCAAATACTGTTACCTATGAAGTCTACTTCGCACCTGCCCAGATAGCTCTTAAAGTAGTGATGTTATACAACTTTGCATAGTGACTTTTATGAAATGCAATTCATCTATGTTAGCCCATTTTAAAAATGTATCTGTGAAATAGTCACAGCCTGATAGAGAACTACACTGGATATTTCATTTTTCCACGGTTCAGCAAACGTTCTACGAAATGCAAAAGAATACGCAGGTGAGCTAAATAGCCCCATTTCTTGTAGCCAAATCTCTAGATCGATTTTGCCTCAGAAATGTCGAAAGTTTGATAAGATACATTTCGCAACTAAATTTTTTCCAAATAATAGAAAAAAAAATACTGCATATAGCCCCATGTTTATGCAGAAGCGCTACATTTACACAGTATTCTTCTTGAATCCTTAAAATGTTGTAAAGTATCCGATAAATATATGAATCTTGGATGGTAGCTTGTACAGTTTTGACTAGCAATACCCCCGAGGGTGTCCATACACCCCGGGAAACAGGCAGTGTGAAATGCGAATGGCAAAGTCATGTGCTATCGGATAGCATATTCAGTCATCGAAAGGTGGGATTCTAGCTCTACAATGATTTGAACAAAAAAAATAATAATAAATAATAGCTTTAATAAAAGGCTGCGAGACTGCGGTCAGAATGTATGCTGCTAAATCATCTAGTTACTATGTTATTAGTTGATTTAACACACGCCCACTTTCGTATAAGAGGCCATCATAACAGTGAACCGTTACGAAGTCAATACTTTAAGTATTCTATTATCTCAAAACGAGCTGCTCGTAGTAAAATAACTGTGTCCATGAAAATAACACGAGAGCCGAATAACTTTAATTTGTAGTAGCTTTATATTAAAAAAAACTCATATTCAAACCACCCCGTTGTAGAGATCGATTTAAAGAGGATAAAGACAAATGAGCCGCACTTGCGCTTAACGTATGAGACTTAAACATATCACCTAGTCTGTTGATGTCATTATTAGTTATTATATTATTATTAATGCTGGATAGTCAATTATTGACATTGTTCCTGTGAGGAAGAACAGACGATCAATAGGTACAGTTGATTTGACAGGCTTGACGGGGACCTAAGGTCTATTGTATAATGTAGTCTATTATAATATATAGTCGATATTTACGTCAGCTGCGTGCTACAGCTATAGTCTTTATGTCGAAGCGCACATCGGTAGCGACTGGACCATTCCTGTCTGTCCTGAGTGAGAACAAATGGGAAAGTGACCATTGGCACTCGATCAACTTTGCCCAAGACTTATTTGGTAGCATGACATCTGTCATAGGAAAACGTGTTTTTTTAGCATAATGGAAACTATATAGGTATCAATATATTTCGCAATCATATAAAATCTATGTACAATAAAAAAAAATGCAAGTTTCTGGACACTTCAGGCGTCGGTACCCCCGCAAGGGGCAACGCCGCCTACAGCACGGTTTATTTTGCATTTCAATAGACGTTGACTAATAGAAGTGTTTTCCGTGAGAAGGCATCCATCTACGAAAACAGCTGGAGCGTCATGCGACCATCATCAACACAATCCTATATAAAAAAAAAAAAAAAAATCGCTTTTCTGATTTCTAATTTTATAAAAAGGCCTCTTTAAAAAGGCTTGAATGAAGTCAACGCAGATAATGAGAGCAGCAAGATCGTTACGCATTGTAAAGAGACTAATCAGTTTCTTATCCCATGAAGGAGTATAAACATTATGCAGGAGATGGGACTTCTAGAGAATTATCATTATAAAGGTCACATTCCTTAAACTTATATTTATGAACTGAAGTTCACTGGCAAACAACGGACTTGACCCGATTTCAGTAGACAAACAATAAAGAAATTTTTACAATTTGCAATTTTGACCAGAATCGACTATTCAACAGAACTCTAGAAAATATAAAATGGTAGATATTCGTGTGATAGTAATCACCCACCACGGTCTTGTTATCCTTAATCTTCATAGATTTCTCTTATCAGTCAGCGCTCTCTCAAGGTTATCATAGAAACAAATTTTATGACCTAGATAGATTAAGGCTCCTGTAAAAACTTTGTAAGAGTACAGTTCTGAACCAGTGCTCGAATTAATTCGCAGAGCTATAAAATAGCTCTAATGATTTAGTACACCGGATTCAAATATGTGCAGTATTTGATGAACGGTTTTTTCAATATATTCTTTTACTCGTAGGTATCTAATACATCTTATAGGGAGAATACATACATTAAATGGGAATTCAGAGCGAATGCTCTGAAAAATGCTAAAAGTATCCATATATATATAATCTATTGACTATGGCTTATTAGAAATTCTATTCAGACAATTTTTTCCTGCTTTATCCTGCACCTTTAGCAAGCAAGGTGAAAATTTGTAAGTACTTACTTCGTATGGCCCATGGCTGCAATTTCTTCAGTGAAAGCATAAACTTAATGAGAGCTGCGGTACAGTCGATGGTGACGTTCGGATCTCCGTTGAAACGGGCCAATACGGGTAGGCTTTTCCTGAACTGTGTCTCGACTTGTTCTCCTAGCCATGCTTCGATGTCTGCAACGGTCGTAGCTCCTGGCGCGAGTGTGGTGGTTTCTTCCTCAATAAATCCAGCTGCCTCCTCATCGTTATCGCCATGAGTGGCACTCTCATTTTCAGCCTGAGCTTCGCTAGGTTTCCTAGGATCACCTACTTTAAGGTCACGAACTTCTGCGTAACCCTGATTCTTGTTTTCAATATAGCCCTGATCATTGTTATGGTCCGCTTTGCTGTATATGTGACGTTCATAGTTGTGATGATGCTGGTCACGATGATGGTCTTTCTGAGTAAAGGTTCCGACGAGTAGATCACAAAGTAACACACACCATAGAATCCACGGCATCATTGCGAATAAACAAAGGTACACTGATACACACGTAAGCACTTTAGCGCACTTCAATACACGGTTCGGCGCTCTCTACCGAACTTGCACTCCTGGGAGGCTGAACAAACCGATTACGGTATCACAGGCAGTTAATATACGCGGTGTCGTTTAGACAATTTTTCAACTATCCTCGGCCAACGGTTTTCGGCAGAACGCCATGTAGACGATACGGTCTTCTACGATATCGGACCCTTGTTGTCACAGTATTTTAGACTCTATTAAACATTCTCTGCAGTTACTGACTTACAGAATTCTGCTGCTTACAAATCAGACTAAATTGTTGAATTTGCTAATACAGATAAATAAAGTACGATCCATTTATTCCAGATAGGCTTTCACCAAGTAGATGATAGTTTCAGGAAAAAGTAATACAAGTGACAGCAGCTCAAAGAAAAAAAATTAAAGAATTACACACGGACACACAATATGAGCATCACAATGCAAAGAGCAATCAGACTTCGTCTGAACAGACACGGGCGAATAATAATAATAGAAGACCCAAGGTAAATGTATTGCGGCGTGCTACGCACACATCGCGATTGGCCCACGTCTGCTTTCTAGCAGTGGTTCTGACTCCAGACAGCGCGGACAGCGGGTTGCCAGGCGAGCTCCAAGTGGTGAGGGAACAGCTGATAAGGCGATCTAGCAGCATCCAGCGGCTGAGAAAAAGACAACGGAGAATGTTGCTAGCTATCGTGAAAACCATCAATGCAAAATATTAAACACGAAAAAATGAGGGACTTACTTGGAGATAGTCGGGGGAGGAGTTTCTCTGAGGAAAGGACAGAGTTACAGGTGGACTGTAAGATAAAACCTGATGACAAAAATGAACAAACAGTAAAAATAATAGTAAAAAATGAAACAGACTCAGAAATTGCGAGAGAAATCGGATTTTTGTGAGCGCGATTGCCCTAGTTATTCTGGAAGCGGGTGTTTGTGCTTGTTTCTGAGCTAACAAATAAAAAACACTGACGAAACCTGACCGAAGCACGGAAGGAGCTATGTTATATTGGGAATCCAAGCATGTCTAGGATGTAAAAAAGGGTCGCCAGACGTAAACCGAAAAAACACAAGTACACTTATTAGAAGTAGGCTGGAATCTCGTTTTGTTTCAACAAAGAGATACTTGAAATAATGCATCACGTCAGCTTAACAAATATTATATTATAGTAATATTAATAAATATATATTATCTTATATAACCCGAGAGCGCCCGCCCATAATCACAGGTAGTCAGGTTCAAATATTTGAATCTCCAGAGAATATTTAAAAGCTAGGTTACTCAGAACTCTGTAAAGAAGTAACTTAATAGAGGATCTGTTCTCTATGAAAGGAAAAAAAAAGCTATAAAAAATATAACTTCTTATATGAAGCTAAAGCCATGTTAATATAGCGAAAATTCTCGAATGAATCATCCGTGGTATTTTCGGACACGTCCCTTTCTCTGATCTATACCTCAAGGATGACGGCAACAGAAATAAAACTGGCCGAATTGAATCGCTGCAAGCAAGATTTTTATCTTTATCAAAACAACTTATACGCACTTCATCCCTTAATGAGCTTTTCCAGTCAACGCTACACTATATTTTCTTTGTTTAGATCTATCTTATCCTCTTCTCATTATTCTTATATTTGTATATTGAGTAACACATAGTTGGCAAATTTTAGCAAAAAAATAAGAATATGCTATTTGCATCGCATTTATTGACGACTGGTTAGGCATTGACCGAAATGCCGCCGGAGGGGCTTATCACAACTATAACTTATCGCAAAAAAAGAATATTAATAACATCGTTTGGACTGCTTTGTTCGCTTCATATTGTAATTCTAGCAAACTGGACATTCTGTGTTAGTAATACAATGGCCATGTACGACTTTTGAGGACGTCCAACGAAAAGGATGGTAATTATATCGATAACTGTTTAACTAGGTCAGCGTCAATGTGATTTTTTAATATACTGTATAAATGCTATTTTGAATAATAAAAATATCCGAATACATTACAACAAGAAGCAAACATTAGGCCATTAGTGAGAATAGGAATATTGTCGTTTTTCGTTTAGTGAAAATAACAATGTCCTATGTAGCTTTATATATAATTAATTTGGCTGTTCATTACATGACCTCGTTCACAGCTCCCTGGTAATCTTATTCGATGGCGAGACTCATCCTAACCTGTACTATGTGCGATACTTAAACTGATACGGATTCGGTTATAGAACATATATCCCCTATGTAATATTCGTTTAAGAAATAGAAAGGTCTAACTAAATCGAGCATCCCTTATAATCATATGAAATAAATGCTTATATGGTGTCGATGAATATCTTAAAATTTCAAGATAATCTCATTTTTCGTTTATTCTAGAAGACATTCATTCTATATTTGATAGATATTTATGGAAGCTTGCTTTTTCAGTCAGGCTCAGGATTCAGCGTCTTCATTGATTACATGGCTAAACAGAAAAAATGTACTTCTAGGTTGCTATTGTTTTAAGTTTCGAATCAAGTTCGATCGTACTAAATAGTGAATAATAAAAAATAATGACGAAGGCGAGGACTTCTTACAAAATCGCCCTGTTGTCACTCGTGCACTGATAGTTTACCTTTTAATATTGATGGATAGGTTTTTTTTTTATAAATATAATGACTATTTTACCTAACGAAACCTTCAAGTGTGACTTTACGGGTAGAATACCTCTATACATCAACCTCCCGGACCATCGTATATCCAATGATATTTGAATCGACCGCAGAAGCCCGTCTCTGTATTTGCATGTGAACACGGAACTCCCGCATGCAAGTGGCGACACAGGGATCTCTGTCGTGTTAACGATATCAAAGAGTCCATTAATTCTCAATGACTGGAAAAAGGTGTTTTCGAGTACGATCGCAACGAAAGGTACGACATGTGACACGAAAGACACGAGCATGTGAACCATACGAGATGATCGTCAAGCCGCACAAGGATAACTTGGTACTGAGTAACAAAATTTTGACGCTTCGAGCCTGAATATCAAGCTTGTGGTCAGCGTCGCGCATAAATAGACACATGTGATGTTTCTAAGTGATATCGTCGCTACTATGCGCCATTGTAGGTGTTCCGGAAGTTACAAGGGATACAACGTTAGCAAAACAACATAAAATTATTATTTCATTACACGCGAAACCTGAAAACGTTTACCGGTATATTTTTCTTAGTGACTTATCACAAATTTTGCCTTATAACGAATCCGATCGCTTTTAATGTACTTTGATTTAGATCTTTAACGCTACCTGTTGAGGTGGCTATTTAGTTCGCTAAGCTTTTAGCTGGACGAGCTTCTTTCAACGTCTCGAAGAAAGGGATCTATTGAACCGTATTAGCCGAAACGTTATCGACTATGAAAACGGTAGTATGCAATACCCTGGCTGTAATATGGGGATACAGAGTATTTACTAACATGAGTATTATCAATTGTATTTGTCTACCGTCACCAACGTGCGTTCATAAGAAGTAACCGGAAGTCCATTCCACGGACCTCTTCATTATAACCAGTTTATTTTTCGGTGCTGACACCGTTCGACCAAGCAATGCCTGGCCATTCTTCCATATTACTCCAGTAAAGGGTATTGTGAAGAACACGATAATCTATTTTTTAAACGTCAGATTTGTCAACTGCAGGCTTGATCTAGATAAAATGTAAACTCGCATTTTAGTAGCTTGTTCCCTTCTTGAAGAGGATCTCCGAATCGTGCCCTAGCATTTCAGAAGATCGATGCGGTTCGACGCTATCATTAAATAATTGTACTTTCAAAAACATATATTTTTCATTATTGACTCTAGCTTCTGTTTAATAATAAATCTGTTTTGTGACTACTTTGGTATCAAACCTATATAACGATGCCAGTCAGCCGGAAGTTGCGTTTTGTCGAAATCACAGTTTTGCCAGGTTCTTTCTCAGGGACCTGTACACTGACTCGTACCTTCCCCACTAATGATATCAGAAGAGATATTGGCTGACTGTTATTTTATGAACCGAACATAGACTCAACTAGAATTTTTATCGGATTTAGATAATCCCAGAGAAGCAAGAACCTGGTAAATACGTATCTATTTAAGAACCAAAGTATTTTTTTACTACCAAATCAATGCTTCCTATTTAGCTAAATAAACATTTATATTTGTTTTCATTATCTGTGTGCCGAATCTAGCCTGTTATGGGAACACACTTTAAAAATACAACGTCTAAGGGCATTTAGTGTCGATCGAAAAATCTTAATAGGAGAGTTGAATACTCGAATAGAATAAACGAGGTAGTAAAATCGGACCATATTGAATATTTCCCAGCAAAAGCTACTTATCTCTTCACAACCTTCTGTTATATTTTGTGCTGTGCTCGCTGAAAAGGTAGTACATAGAGCTGTTATGAAAAAAGGAAGCGGATCTTTCTGTGCACGGGTTTACATTTTTCACACTCGTGTATTAAACAGAAGCGACATCCCTATATTTTGGACGGCTGTTACTTAGTAACGTATGTAATCATAACGAATTAAATGAGACGCTCATCTGAGAACTAAAACGGAACTTGGAATTCTTTACTAAGAAAGAAGACGTCCACGCAATTTTTTATATTGACACTGCGCTATTGACTGTGTTTAGCAAAACAATCCAAATTAGATATAAGATTTTCGAATTAAAAAGTCTCAAACATGGGCTATATATATGCTTTGAAGCTATGCGATTAACTATAAACTGAATGTTTAGACGAAAATCCATCTTTGTTTTTTTTTTTTCTCTATCCGGTGTTTTCGATAAATTCAATGACACTATTTTATTGTCTTCTTCAGTGCCTAGCTTCAATGACTGGCAATTTTTCTGGTATGCGGGAATAAGTGTCGAAAGAAAGGTCAATGATTAATTAAAGCCTAAAATTTTTTGTGTTTGTTTACATAACAAATGCCATAGGGTTATTATTATATCGACATATTATGACAACCAATACGACATAAACAAATCTCTGTGTTCAAGCGTGTATTAATACTGCGAGCTATTTATAATATACCGCTAACTAGGCACGCTGACTAATTTTTGAAGAATATGTTGAAACAGCTGAGTTAGAACTTTTCGCATGTGCTTCGTAATGTGGCGCTTATTGTGGTGTGGTGAATATATGAGCATCAAAGCGGTGATAACTGGAGATAGTCGGTATCCAAATATAAGCTTTTGCGTATGGCTTGAAAAAGGTCGCGTAGACTTACTTGCCTAAAGCATCTCCGATGCCCAAGGCACACCTAACCGTGATTGGGTATTCTAACGTGAAAGGCCACGGACCCCTCTGGCTGTCTGTTTGCTTTTAAGAGACACGGAGCGCATATTAAGTCGCTGAAAAGGCACTGACCGTTTTTAAACCGTAATTGATGCAAATACTTTTTTGTACTTCAAAATGATACTATTAAAGTAGTTATGTTCCATTTTATTCTTCTCGTTTTTCTGGTAGCACCATAATCCGTCACTGTAGAAATTCTATGGTTTCTGAGCGAAACATTATAACGCCTTGATCCTATATTAACACCATCGAAGGAGTGCTACAGCGACCGAAACAGATGATGATCTGAGGGTG